ATAGTTAATTGGTGGGTCACAGATTTTTTTTTTTTTTTTTGAGGGCAAGAATATATGCAACATCTTCTGGTAGAAGAATGCAAGGTGTTAAGGCATCAATTACATTTTGAAGTTTTAAAATCAGGATAAAACTGTGTAAATTTGTTGTGACATATTCTAACTTGTGAATAACATGCCCCCTATTAAAAAAAAAAGACTAAAAAATTTGACAAAATTAGTTTATTGAAACTTAATTAAAAATGTCACACATTTTAAAACTTAATTAAGAGTTTAGAAGGAATTTCATGCATTAAGTAAAAAAAATCGTATTTACTAGTGATTAAAATTTAGAAATAGTCAAAAGTATCAAATACGGTGGATATATGTCCAGCAGTATGACTAGTTAGTTTTAGAACAAGTCCAGAAAGCCTGCAATCCTTTGCCTTAATGCGTGCCCTCTCCAAAGTGGTAGCTGAATTTTACCAAAGGTGAACAATGAGCAAGGGCCACAGCTCACTGTATAAGAATCGGCTGCACAAAATTGCCTGAATGCCATCCAGGTGAACTGAGCCTCCCTTCACACCAGTCTCTCCTGCCATGGAAACACAGGTTTCCAGTTCTCAAGTACACCTTTGTGTGGATTTCTCTTGTGTGTGTTTCTCCTTTATTGTTTATTACTGATGCCTGTTGAGCACTGTATCTTATTTCTACCAGAAGTTTGTCTAACTTGTCTACCTTTTCTTGCAATGCATACCATGGGCTTCTCACATGTGGGAGCAATCTTCAGCAACTTGGACAAGTTTTGGAAACATTTCAAACAACTAAATTACCAGCCCAAAAAAAAAAAAAAAAAAAAAAAAAAAAAAAAAAGTGTTTCCCGCTTCGCACACTTTGTGAATGACCACAGAACAACCACTGTTGTTGATTTGGGCAAATGAGCAATTTTTATCAGATAGGCAAATTTTCAAGAGAGGAATCTGTGCATTGTGAAGGTAAAATATGTTTGAAAATATACTTTAGTTTCATGAGTGGATTCACTACATGCTTGGATGGTGTATATTCTACTGGCGTCTCATTGGGAACTTAAACATGTCATCCTCTCCAATCTGTTCTATGATGTTTTAAAGAGTACTCACTGTTGAAGCTGTGGAATTGGCTTGATAATTTTAGTTTAGTCCCTCTTTTCTGTCTTATTGGCCTATACCCCCACTTCATCCCCATTGTATTCCAGACAAAGCAGTGGACAGACATTTTAGCCAGCATTGCCTTTTTAAACACACAGTGCCGTGAAAAGCTTATTTGTCAAGGGTTGGTCTGATTTCCTTTCAACGTGATGATTGTTTCCCAGCTAGTCCCTAGATTCTTTTTAAAGTATGGTGTTCCTCATTTGTCATTAGTAAAATATTTAGACACTAAATATTTAAAGCTTTAGCAAAATGTACTCAATAGTTAGCCATAATAAAATAAAAGCTTAAAGTACAAAGATTTAATAAAAGTCCCAGGAATTTTAGTTTATTCCTCATAATATTACAAACTTTTAACAAGTAAAATATACCCAGTTACTGAGCAAAATTCTCATTCACAGTTATCCTACAGTAAAAACAACTGATTAAGAAAGTCATTAAAAAAAAAAAAAAAAAACACCCCTCTATCGCGGTTAAATAAGGATCAGGATAAACAAATAGGCCGAACAGATGTTTATTCAGGGAGAAATAACTTACAACCTAGACAGATGAACACCAGGAAATTCTGCCCGATCCTCTCCTGTCCGAGTCAAGCCAGCAAGAGAGCTTTTTCCGGCTCTCCCTCCGACTTCCTTCCACAGGTCACTTCCGTCCATGACTCCACCCCCCAATGGGCGTGGTCAGTGCCACAGAAGGACTATCCCACTACACCCCTCTATAAAGGCAAAGTCTTTTTTAAGTTCTTTATTTGTTATTTTAACTTAACAAAATGCACGCCAAGCTTCACAATTCACATCTGTAATCCAAGACCTCAGGGAGAAGAGGCAAGCTGGACCTGTGTTTGAGACCAACCTGAGACATAGAAAAGCCTTATTTCCAAACACACAGACAGAAATGAACTTTAAAACCCATTTGCCCATCAAGATATCAAGGGAGTTCCCATATCCATTCCATAGTCTAAAACCCAATGGGAAGACATTTAAACTCTATATAATGCTCGAAAAGGAAAATGGTAATACTATAAAAAATGCTCTTATGCATTAACAGATGATTACACAAAGAAGAATTAATTATGACAGCATGATAGACTGTTTACAGCACAAGTTCTGAAGGGATCCCTGGCATTTCTATATTACTTTCTTCCTCCTTCAAAGATGTAACATGTGAAATCATGTAGCCATACTCTGAGAGAGAACACTAGAACATTCTCTGCTTCTCACCATTGGATTCCTCTCTGGTCAGTAGATAAACTGGGTCTCCACCACATTTTTGTGGATTTGTGCTTCAGTGGAGGGGGGGCACCTGCCTGTCCACCCCATTGACTTATGAGTTAGTTCTCCATAGAAGAGCTTGAGCTGTTGGGTTCAAACAATACAATGAGAAAGAAGTTGAGATCCCTTTTTTTCTAAATAAACTCATAGCTCACAGAGGAAATGTCATTCAGTGCAGGAAGTGTCCTGTTAGATTTTCAGGCATTAGCTTAGTAAATTATAAGAGACAGGCAACAGTTCTTCCTGCTCTACAGAATGGATGCGTTACAGAGTGCCTGATAACTAAGAACATTATGTCAGTCTCAAAATTGAATGCATACAACCTGGACATGAAGAAGGAACAGAAAGGATTGGTTAGTGGAAACTGGAGGGAATGCTGCTGAATGCATTCTGGTATGGACAAGCAGAGAGGACATGCAAACATGTCCTCAAGTTCTACTGGGGCAGAGACAAAGGGTGTGATGGAGGGTGGCAGAAACATCTGGAAGTAGAACTAGAGAAAGGAAAACCCACGATGAGAGACTTGGCCATTTGTCACCAGATGAAAGCAAGCAATCCAAAGTTTATAAGCAAAAGGGACAAACACAATGCAGATTCGAGCCCCGGGAGGATAAACATGGCAAGCAAATGGAATTATATATCTGAGAACCACTTAGAAGGAATTTTATGAGGGGCATAACTTAGCGTCTGTTATTGCCTTGGCTCTAGGGCCTGAAGTGGTCTCCCTTTCCACTGCTGACATGCCTAAAGGTGCTTTGGACAAGCTGCGAAGAGCTGTTGACAGTGACAAAGCGTTCTTGAGAACAGCTCTTGCTGGGGGTTGACAGGCATCTGAAATCCTAGCATCCAAGATGCTGTAGCAGGAGGCTGCTCAGGAGTTTGAGTCTCTCTAGGGCTATGTGGTGAGATCTTATCTCAAAACAGTTTTCTTAAGCCTGGGCACAGGCTGTGACCATCAGGGTACTTTGAGGGAGGCTTTGGTTTGATTTCCAGCCCCTGAGACTGGCCAGGAGCCCTGTGTCAGGCTTTCTCAAAGTTTCTCACAGGACTCTAGTACTGAAAAGTTTGATGGTTGCTGCATTGAAACAAGATCCATGGTCACTACAGGTCTGCGTATCATTTTGCTTATGTTAACCATCTGAAATGTGGCTGTTCATTATAAGCTTGATGTGTGTTTAATACAAGGATTCTTTATTTCAATTGTTCTTATTAAATTTTTGATACATGTTATAGCATATGCTGTCTTAGAAAATAAGGTATGTTATGTAAAGTGAATGATAGAGCATTGTGTGAAGTGGAAAAAAACTGTTGAGTGGCCAACCAAAGCCTATAGCCATTGGGTGGTCATAGATAGATAGATAGATAGATAGATAGATAGATAGATATGTGTGTGTGTGTGTATACACACACAGACACAGATAGATAGATAGATAGATAGATAGATAGATAGATAGATAGATATGTGTGTGCGTGTGTATATACACACACAGACACAGATAGATAGATAGATAGATAGATAGATAGATAGATATGTGTGTGCGTGTGTATACACACACAGACACGGATAGATAGATAGATAGATAGATAGATAGATAGATAGATAGATGGTAGAAGATTTTATATACTTACACAAATCCAAAATCCACAAATGAAAGAAAACATTGTATATTTATCTTCCTGAGTATGGTTTTTCTTTTTTCTTTTTTCTTTTTTTCCCACTTAACATGGAAATGTGTTCCTTTTCCAAAGCTCATAAATATATCTGTAGATGGAAGTTTGTGTCCTCCCGGTCCCACAGCTGTTCAGTCCCAAATAAACACATGGAGGCTTATATTAATTATGAACTGTTTGGCCTATTGCCCAGGCTTCTTATTGGCTAGCTCTCTCTTAGTTACTAACCCATTTTTATTAAGCTACATGGTCTTGGCTAACCAGTGATGCCCAGACCTCTTGCTTCCTTAACAGTTACATGGAGTCTTGCTGGTGGTTCATGCTCTGTGTGCCTCTTCCCAGCTTTCTCCTTAGTCTGGTAGCCTTGCCTATACGTCTTGCCTGGCTACATCCTGTCCATTGTCCATAACAGCTTTGTTCATCAACCGATAAGAGAAACATGTATTCACAGCATACAGAAGGCCATCCCCCATTAGAGATCTATTTTATGATGAATGAAACTGCACTCTGTGTATGCCATGCTCTTTTTGACTCATTTACCTGGCTACTGTGACCTGTGCAGCCATAAGCATGGGTGGCAAGTGTCTATGTGGCAGGTCTCCTGGGCACTTTTCAAGGGCATGTACAAGAGGAGGAGGATACCTGGGTCCCATGGGAGTTCTGTTTTTAGCATTCTGAGGAACCCCCATACTGACTGAATGGACCGATTTTCCATTCAATCTCACCAGCATTTGTCGTCTGTTTCCTTAGCGTTGTTTGCTTTCCCAATGACAGCCATTTCTGCCAGGACTGAGGTGCAATCTGGGATGTGTAATTATCTTCTCATCAAATAATGGGGTGGGGGGACATAAGGGTACCACGGCTTCTTTTCTTTGATTCACTCTCTCGCGTTCAGCAGGTTCAAGGTCAGCTGCCGCCATTGATGATCCCTGTGTTCCCTCCTGACCAGCGGACCCTCGCTGCAGCTGCCCAACAAGGGTTCCTCCTTCCTCCTGGCTTCAGCTACAAGGCTGGGTGCAGTAAGTACTACTGAGCTGTTAATTCCAGAGTGGGTGGAGGATGTGGCTTTCGGTTGGACGGTTTAATGCAACTGCCACACCAACAGCAAGGAATGAGTTCGTTCATTTAGCGTGTTTATTTTAGAGATAAAAAGCACAGTTGCAGGGCAGGAAGGGTTTTCACTGGTAACCATAAGTGCGTATCTCGTTTCCCTGCTTCAGAAGCATTTGTCTTTTACACCTCGTGTCTATGCTTTCTATTTCCAGTGTATTGCTAAAACATGAATATAATCTGGGGTTCCTTTTTCCTGGAGACGCTTTCCTATAGTTTTTCATTGTACAGTAGGTTAACTGAGTCCTGTAGAGAGAATGGGACCTTTGAGTCCTTCACAGAGTGACAGCCTGTAGGGGGTGGAATGTGAAATGATTGTCATAGACTTGTGTGTTTGTACGGTGTCTCTCCTCCCACACTGGTGATGGCGTTGAGAAAGTTATGAGACATTTAAGATGTCTCTGAATGACCCCGTGAATGACGTGACTCACTGGGGTTTGACCTTGAGGGGCTATAGCCCAACCCCATTTCCCATTTTCTCCTTGACTGCTGACTGTGGACTTCTGGCAAGCCAGCCTCACACTCCTGCCTCCGTGGAAGGCAGTCAGTCAGATATTGCGTAGGGGACCCTCCCTTCCCTGCCTACGTTGCCTTTTGTTGTATCCTTTGCACAGCATCAGGCACATTGCCAACCCTCAACAAGTCCTCTGAAAGTCTTAGTTCGTAGACCAGGCCATGCTCTTCCTGGATGGTGCCCTCTCACCAGAATGGATCCCTCTCCCTGATGTGACGAGTCTCCTCCAGCTCATTTCAGGGGTGATGTCCTGGACCTGGACCAACCCTTTCCCTTGGCTCCTCTGTGACTTCCCAACTGTACGATATAATATAAAGATTTAAAGACTAGAACTAAGTGTTACAACCACAGGTGTAAAAATGCAAAACATCACCTAACAGGAAAATTAGATTTAATTTCTAGTCAAGATGTGTAGACTAAATGTCACAGCTCAAGTCTAGACTGTAAAAACCCATACCTCCAGGAGCCCCTTGTGACCACTGTTGCTCTTGACTTTGGCTCCCCAAGTTTTCAAATGAGCCAACCTATTTCTTTCCAGGACCCCCTGGTTTATCAATTTCATAATACTAACACACAGTTCTAATTTTATAGATCATCATTTAGCCCAGAACAACTAGGGGCTGTATTCTAAGGGTTTAAAATTCTCAGAATAATTGTCTTCCTCAGGATGGGATTTTATATTCAGTAGTTACTTTAAGGCTGTGCGGTTTATAAGCCTTAAAGGGTCTTTGCTTTTCTGTTCGCCTAGAGGACTGCTCCTTACTTGAAACATATGTAGCAAATGTGGTTTTGTTTTTTGTTGGCTTCTTTTTGTTTTTGTAACCTAGCTTACTGAAACAACAAAAAGTCACTGCATTCACAAAGATTGTGTAGAAAAGAAAAACATACTGACCATGAACAGCGGAATGACTATAGACACACACACTGTCAGGAACACACAGCTCTCTGCTCCCCTTAACTACTGGCATGTTGAATTTGTCCAGCCACAATGTGTCATGGATCAAACCAAGTTTTTCCTTTGTGAAAGTGGCTGGTGTTTCAACTGTCTGCTATTCATGCGTTCGGTGCTTAGGTTATAAACGATTGCACTTCTTCAGTTTCCTTGGAAATAAAGTAGAACAAAGCCTTTACTGCTGCTGGCCAACTTCAGCTTGGCACCTCGCCAGACTCTAGAACTTAGGAGAAGTGGGTTGTGAAAGAAAGTGGCCCAGCCTTGTTGACACCCGGGTTCTTGGGGGCAAGCCTCAAGGAGGAGCTGGCCAGATGTAGTAAATAGTCTATAATGTCTCTCCACCAATCACATGGCAAGCAAGGAAAAGGGGCGCAAAGTAAAGCCTGCCCTCCCATTCTCGGCCCATTTCTCTGTGGCTGTCAGCCTGACTTCCACGTGTGGCAGTTGCTTTGAGTTAGGTATGACGAAGTCCTCGCTGACAAACACTAGTCAGCCCACAAACTATGTGGCTCCAAAGCCAGAGGCTTTTCCTCAGTGCACGAACCTAGGACTAGGGTTGGTTTAGGAGCTGAAATGTGGAACTTGCCCGAGGAACCTGGCACTATAGCCCAAGGCAGCATGTCCTATTTTCAGGCAAAGAGGCTTCTGGTTGGAGCATAGAGGCATTGTCCCTGCTCTGAAAATAATGATGAAAATGTGCCTGCCGTGGAGTGGCCAAACACGTTGTCACACAGCTCTGGCTGCAAGAATGCACAGCACAGACCGATGGTGGCATAGCTCAGTAGCCAAACATCTGTACAAACTAAGTGCATGGAAAGGAAACATTAAAGGATGCTCTCCTGTACTCTCAACCGTGAGTCTGAGTCAGTCTACAACCGCGAGAGCATTGATAACACTCTCCAACTTTCTGCTTGGGTACATAAATACACATCTTCCCGAATCCATGCCTCCTTACTCATTTTCCTACTTATTTCTTAATACATAAAAGAAAATACTTACAAACATCTGTGGAAGTGAGAACAATGGCATTTTGCTTATTATTGTTTTTGATGACTGTAGACAGAGCCTCGCCCTGTAGCCCAGTCCTCCTGCCTCAAACCTGTGGATTTTAGGGTTAGAGGTGTGAGTCTCCATACTGGGCTACAAATAATGATGAATTAGTAAATTAAATGCTGTCTCACAAGAGAGAGGAGGCATGGGTTTGAAAGAGTCATATAAAAACACTGTTTTGGTAGCTCAACTCAGTATTACTCAATTAACTTAAGGGGATAAAAGTCAAATAATAGTTATTTTTTAAACTTGTAGTACTGTCTAAATTCTTAACCAGTCTGTAATGTGAAAAATAAATTTATAGCATGTAACTTAAAATTCCAGGCCTAATTTATTCCTGGTAGTACTAGCTCATTGGAAGCAGAAAATAATCATAATAACCAATGAAATAAGTTTGGAATGCAAGGTGCCCAAGATGTTGGTCCTAAATTATAAGTGGCTACACAAACAACTCAGTTCAGTCACTCCAAGTGGCCCTAACTTGTTCAGGAAAAAAATTCAATCCATGAGCTGGGAGGCTTCTGCCAGGCACCTATTTTCAAATAAAAGTTTAAGTACATTTGGCGCCTGAAGAAATACTCGATGTTGGGAGGAAGATATTCCACATTGTACTTGCTCCCCATGGAAAACCAACCCTACCCTAAAGGGGGGATGTAAATGTGAACTGTGTGTGTGTGTAGGGAGTGTGTGTGTGTGTGTGTGTGTGTCTATGACGTGTGTGTGCGTGCGCGTGTGTGTGTATGGAATGTGTATGTATATATGGAGTATGTGTGTGTGTATGTGTATGGAGTGTGTGTGTATGGAATGTGTGTGTATGTATGGTGTGTGTGTGTGTGTGTGTAGTGTGTGTATGGAGTGTGTGTGTATGGAATGTGTGTGTATGTATGGTGTGTGTAGTGTGTGTATGGAGTGAGTGTGTGTGTGTGTATGGTGTGTGTGTGTGTGTGTGTGTGTATGTGTATGGAGTGTATGTGTATGGAATGTGTGTGTATGTATGGTGTGTGTGTGTGTGTTTGTGTAGTGTGTGTATGGAGTGAGTGTGTGTATGTGTATGGAATGTGTGTATGTGTATGGTGTGTGTGTGTGTGTGGAGTGTGTGTGTGTATGGAGTGAGTGTGTGTGTGGGTGTGTGTGGAATGTGTGTGTGTGTGTGTGTGTGTATGGAATGTGGGTGTGTGTGGAGTGTGTGTGTGTTGGTGTACACCTGACACTTTCCACTTGCAGGAGGCATTTGAGATGGGCTGGTGCCAGCTTGAGGTGTGCTGTGTGGCCGTCTCTGTCTTTGGGTTCTTCCTTCTGTTCACACCATCCTGCTGATCATGTTCAGGAGACCCCGCTCCTCTACAGCAAGTAGTTTGGAAACAGAATTGGGAGAAATAGATGACTCACTCGCTTGTAGCTTTAGACCTCTGCCCTTTTTTTTCCCATTTGTGCCCAACATTTCCAATGTTACAGTTCTAATAGTCACAAGCATTGGAAATTTTGACAGGGAAGCATTTTACAAGGAAATAATAATATCTTGAGAAACATCGAATTTCAATAAAAGAACAATTTTTATGCACAGTATAAAAATAAATTGGAAAGAGCTAGCTGGCTTGATCACTTAGCACAAGGTGTGAATTGAATGTGTCATATGACAGTTGACACAGAGTGTCCTCGATAGAAGGACAAGAACCCAACACTCCATGCCAAGGACCTCAGGGTGCTCCTGGGTAACTCCCAGGAGCATGTTGGACATTTTAACAATTCAAAGAAAATACAGTGCCATCTCTTTGGCACTTTGCAAACTTTCATATTTAAGTTGTATGGACTTTTCTACTTAATAAGGGTGCGTGGTTGGATTTTTCTTTTCCTCTTTTCTCATGAGGGAGATATTAAAAATGATTATGCCACTGGAAGCATCTTAACTGAGGAAGGTTCCAGAGCTTTCCACCCAGTGTGGTGTGTTGCCTTTCTCCGAGGCAGGGTTTCTCTGTATTGTTTTGGAGCCTGTCCTGGAACTCTCTCTGTAGACCAGGCTGGTCCCCTCTTATTTTTTAAAGCAGGAAGTTTGCATGAACATAAAATGACAAAACTTATCCTAACAAAACTTAGAGAACTGTGTACACTGCTGTGAAGATGACTCATTCATAGATCCATGCCAGGTGATTCTTCCCTGCAGTTTTTCTATTGTGTTTGTTTTGGCAAAATATGGCCAGTCCCTGGCAGGCAACAGCAAATTATGAATACGCTTAGAGTAACAGAGCTTGGAGGTGCAATGAGGTTTTAATTCTGCTGGTTTGCTTCGCCTCCAGCAAGTGTAGTTGTTTGGGTAAGAAGTGTCCCTCATAGGCGCATGCAGGTGAACACCTAGTCTCCAGTTGGTGGCGCTGTGTAAGACAGTTGGGGAACCT